ACACAGATCTTAATTTTAATTTTTTGTTTTGTTTTATTTTTGTTCTTGTTTTTTTTTTGTACAAAACAAAACTTAAACACTTACTTTGGTTGAAAATGTTTTAAAATAACAAGTCTAATTTTACACTTTTTAGAGGTTTGTTCCTTTCCTCCTTGTGTAACAGATTACACWAATTAGAGTTGTTTAAACCATCCTAAATTTCCCTGTTTCCTTGAATATGTCTTTAAATTGTAATTATCTTCTCCTTATTTCCACAGTTTTTCATTGTTACCCTTCAAACTTCTTTATCACTTTTCTCCAGTTTATCCAACTGACTTCATTACCTTTTATTTTTTTACAGTTTTTTCCCTTCTCATTATAGCAGCTTTTTTATATATATTTGCTGTTAAACACCTTAATAAAATGACAAGAAACAGGGTTACTGAGGGCATCGTGTGAGGGAACATGTTCAGACCATAACTAGAAGCTGAGAGGGGATTTAATGGGGAATGAAAGTGAAGATTTACTGAAGCAATTTAAACATCCTGTGGAACTTTAGGGACTTGAAATGACCTGTAGACATGAGCAAACAAAAAAAAGTAGTCATTGTTGCGTAAGATCGTATTTTTGTCCTTCACATGAGCTGAATAAATCCTACAAATAAAWATTACAGCATCTCAATAACATTTTGGTTTATCTCAGTATTACTAATAAAGACTTTACAGGAACTTGGTAATCCCTTTGTTTTATTTAACTGCAATAAATCATAAAAATCAAGGTCCGTAAGCCTCCACTGTCYGGCTTTAAGATCCTTTGACTCACCGACGCTCTGCTGTGTTGAAACCCAATCCATCAGCATGTGTGCACATTAACAGCATTAATTGCATTTCTCACATAAAACTCACATGCACCCTTCATCACCTCCTATAATAATCAGTGATTTCTAAATTCAGATCCGTCTCCAAGCCATTTGGTTTATTCCTGCTCACTTTGAAACGCTGCTGGGTCAAAGAAGCCCGGCACATGAAAAAAAATATTTAAAATTTTAAAGTGCCTGTGACATCTCTTTTTTGTGATAAATACAAATTAATTATTGTAAAGACTATATTAATTATATTGCAAAAAGCTTTACTGAAATGAACGTTGCACTTTGGCTGCAAAAAATATGGGTTTCTTTTGGGGTTTTTTCCCTAAAGTCATGTATTTTACTAAGT